AGAAAGCCTCAGGATCCGCGAGAAACCTTCTCGCTTATTCTAAGAGCCTCCACCTGTTGTGGATAATCCACCGACCGCTGATCAGGTGGAATCCTTCTGGAAGGATATCTATGAACACCCGCAGCCACTCAACTTAGACACTCCAGCCCTAGCGCAGTTCGAAGCTTTCAAGAGAGAGCTTCGACAACCTGAGCTCAATGACCTGCGCAACCCGGTAACCCCGGATGACGTTCGAAGAGCTCTTGTGGATTCCAAGAACTTTCCTGCTCCAGGTTCAGATGGGCTGAACACTTATTGGTAGAAAAAACTACCAATTACCCATCGCCATCTGGCCAGAGTTTTCAACTCATTGCTGGACGGAGAGCAGCCGATTCCGGATTGGTTTGCCGAGGAGGGGACCGTTCTTATCCCTAAAAGCGGAGATTTGTCGATTCCTAAAAATTACAGACCGATAACATGCTTGAATTCGTGTTATAAGTTGTTTACAAGCATCTTATACACACGAATACTCACCGCAGTTGACCGAGTGTTCGAACGGATATATGAGCAGAGAGGGTCGAAGAGAGGAGTAGCTGGATGTAAAGAGAACCTGCTCATCGATAGATGTGTAACGCAGGGCTCGATACAATATAAGCGTAACCTCTCTATGGACTGGATCGATTACCGTAAGGCATTTGATACAATTTCGCATGAGCTCATCTTGCATTTGCTCAGATGCCTTGCGGTAACCGACAAAATAGTGAGATGCATTGAACAACTGATACCACTTTGGCGAACTCGCTTCAACATAACATCAGGTCAAGCAAGAGTTCAAACAGAGTGGGTCACTTTCAGAAGGGATATTTTTTAGGGTGATTCCCTCAGTCCCCTTATGTTCTGCATCTCACTATTGCCATTATCCGTTGCGCTCAGTACGGTTGTACTTCCCCCGACAACAGGGAGGCCGTGGACTTTTGAGTTTCGACTGTCTGCATGACATAATGGTGTTGGATACAGCCTGTAAAGTCGTCAGGAGTTCGGATCCCCTTCTCTGCATGGTCCGTGACCATGAGAGAGCAGGAATTGGAGCATTTCTCTTCAAGGCAGCTGCCCGAGCAGCTGATGAACTTGGTATAGTTTTCGACACTGAACAAGGTGACCACAACTCTGTCACCGAGTTGAAACCTGTTCAGCAAAAAGCTCAGATAAAAGCCGCAGAGATCACCTTACTTCTGCGGAAACACAAGGATAAGCCAATGCATGGGGTCTTCTTCAAGAACATTGCAGACCTTGGCTTATCAAAGTGCCTGAATTTCGCTTTCCTCAGGTCGGGTGGGCGGAAGTCGGAAACTGAGGGGTTCATCATGACTTGCCAGGATGGTGTCTTCAACACCTTAGTTTACCGCAGTCGCGTGATGGGTATAGAGGTTCCTGACACAAGGTGCAGGGCCGGTTGCGAGGTGCCCGAGACCCTAATGCACTTACTATCAGCATGTCCAGCATATGAGATCTCGACCTATATCCATCGACATAACGCGGCCCTAAGAGTGCTATATTACCATCTACGGCACTTTTACGGTATTGACGAGACACCGATCTGGCTCACATAAGTTAATAAGCCTGATGTAGTCCTTTTCGACCATCACAGCAAAACGATATTTGTCGTGGAGTTTTCAACTCCTGGCGAGAAGTTTCACGGGATATAACTTTTGGAGCATCTGTGTTGTTGATTTCAAGAAATGAGTGGAAAGAATACCGACCCATCCCCTTCTTCCCGGAGAACACTTTTAGGTATGAGAAAGTACAGTGCCTGAAGAATAATTCACGATTTCTGAAATATTCATCCTGAATAGGATATGAGAAGTGGCTTTATAGCTACGGGAGACCCCGAATATCTGAAACTTCAGTTGCCGATTCGTGGGGTGGAACTGAAAAAGGGGTTGAATATGTATTGTTATCGATAGCCGTAATGGAAAAAGTCTTTGATGGTTGGTCTTTGATGGATTGATGACATATCTACAGTGTCACCATTAAAGTGCGCACCATATGGGAAACTTTTTTTTCGAAAAGTTTCAATGAAGTGGGTCGCAGCCAACTGCGACCCACTGACGTTCAGTTTTTGTCAAATTCAACTTTTTTTTGAAAAAAATTGAAAATGTGCATTTCTAGATCGAATTTAACAAAAAGTTACTTGAAAAAGTTGTGTCTACGGCAATTTTATGTCCATATGCCGAATTTTATGCAACTAGGATAAAGTTAACGTTTTGCTTATTTTTGACAGATATCCCCTTTATTTTGAAAAACAAGTTCGGTTAATTGTCATCAATTCATGTATACATAACAATCTCATCATGGAGTTTAACTTTTCTGATAAATTTTTACTTATACGGACATTTTTAGAGAGAAATTAAAAATTTGCTATAAAAATTTTAAAATGACTGGTGCAAAGTTTCATTAAAACTTGTATTTGCTGTAATAACCCAAATTGAGGAACATTCTCCATTTTCATCTCGTGTCAATAGTTTTTTTTTGATTTTTGTGGTTGTTGCTTGAATTTTATTCCATTGTGATTTTAGTTTCTATTCTATTCTATTCTATTCTATTCTATTCTATTCTATTCTATTCTATTCTATTCTATTCTATTCTATCCCATCCCATCCCATCCCATCCCATCCCATCCCATCCCATCCCATCCCATCCTATCCTATCCTATACTATTCTATTCTATTCTACTCTATTCTATTCTATGATATTTTAGAAGACTGCCCAAAGATTATAAAATAATTTTCCGCCTACTGTTGATACATGGTTTTCGCCAGGAAGTGTTTCCGATTCCCGATAGATGACCATTTTTTACGAAATTGAAATTTTTCATACATACCTTCACAAAGTAAAGTCATTAAACACTTGGCCTATTTTTACCAGATCAAAGTTTCCTGCGTTTGTAATCATTATAAAATTTCTATTAATTTCCCAGTCGATTTAATGATTTTCGATAAGCAATAACTTCATTGATTGATAGTTAAAGCTTATATTAATGGCTCTATGAATTAACATGGCTATTTTATAGTCGTAAAGACTTAATGGGATGAAGTACATATATTTCTAGCTTACAGTAGTTCTAGTGTGTATATTTTTAAATTTTATATTCTTCTAGTTTCGAAATGTAGTGCTGATACGTTAATAGTATGTTAATAGCTACTAGATTATTCGTTTAAACATTTTTGGTCACGACTGGTTTCTGTTGGGGAAGCTTAAATAATCTGAGCAATGTCAACCATTACAAACTATCTTATATGGATATTGTAGTCCACATAAGATAGTTGCTCTACAGGGAAGTGCAAAATGAGGATATGTGGCTTATGAGCAATTTCGAAGGACAGTGAGACGCACATGGGGTCTCTCACCCCACTGTGATAATAAGACCTATGTTAACGTTGGGAGCCATTGCCTGGGGACCGAAAGTTCTATAAGCAACAGCCATTGAAAAATTATATCAAATTCAGTAATTGGCTTGTTCGAATATCACAGGAGCCATGAGAGCAACACCAACCGCGGCAATGGAATTAATACTGGTCTGGACCTGTACGTTAAGGAGGTAATTTAATGGCCATGTTACGATTGCGCCCGGCTGGTGTAAACCTCGAAGTAGGAATGGGTCAATTGAGGCTGAGTCTATAACGAGAAGGGCTTACTGCGCAACCTCTGCTGCAAGCAGCCACTGATGCAATTGAACCCAGGTTTGTGTTTAACAAACCCTACAAAATACAAATGAAGCAGAATACAGAGTCAGATGCTACAAATGCAGTACGTCTATACACAGACGGCTCAAAAACCAAAAAAGGCTTAGAACAGTGGTCGCCAACCTCTTCAATGTGTTGAGCTACTTTGTTAATTTTGGAATAAACAGCGAGCTACCCACACGGAAGCCACGTAACGCAACGTAAATGAAATAATCCACAGTTAATTTATCATTATATGTATTTATTTTACTATTTAACTGGTAATACATAATACATAGGTACTAATAATAAACTAATAACAAAATAACTAATATTACTAGTACGTACTTGTTCATAGCTACATTCTTACCTATCAAACGAAGGTGTTTGAAAAATAAACACAAACTTTTATCCAGCCACAACAGCATGTCACGTATGATTTAAAAATAGTTAATAATAACAACAAAAAAGTAACGCACTATCATGAAAAAGAAGATTCACACAAATAGGTTGAACTGAATAATGCTTTCACTTTCAAGGCAACACGGCATCGAACTGAATATTTGTTTTTACTTACAATAGGCCAGATACATTCAGTACTTGAGACTAACGATTCAAAGGCTGAATCATTTTGAAACTCAATGACTTCCATTTCTGTTGCAGCGATGTATTCGCCAAAGTTCTGCATAACACAAGCTGCAAACTGTTGAATATCAATTTCCATAAAGGGTGAAACAACAAACTGCGCTACTAAAGCCATTTCATTGAAATCCTTAAAACGATTTTTGAAGTTATTCTTCAGGGTAGAACTTATTTCTACATGATATTTGTTGTCATAGGGTTCTAATGGATTTTGATATATTTTTTCTGAAAGAATAGGAAAATGCTTGGCATCGCTGTTAATTAGGTTTTGTTCCCAAAACTCCAACTTTTTGATAAATGCTTTTATATCAGAAATCATTTCCGCTAGTTCTTTGTCTCTCCCCTGAAGCTGCAAATTAAGTTCTTTAATTTCTCTGTAATGTCCACGAGAAAACCAAAATCTCTAAGCCAGATTGAATTTTCTAGTTCCGGAGTCGGTTCATCGCGTTGTTTGAAAAATTGAATTATGCCAGATAGGACATCATTAAAACGTTTCAGCACCCATCCTCTACTTAACCATCGGACTTCAGAGTGAAGGAGTAGGTCCCCGTATTGACAGTCAACTTCATCGGCCAAGGTTCTGAATAATCTTCTTTGTAACGCTTGAGCTCTAATCTTGTTCACAATTTCTACCACCAGTTTCATAACGTTGTTCAGTTTCAGGAAATTTCCACATAATGCTTGCTGATGGATAATGCAGTGGTAACAGAGAAATTGTGGAAAAGTTTCATCTTTACGACATAACGCCACCAGACCCGTATCACAACCCACCATAGCTGGAGCGCCATCGGTTATCAAGCCTACCATTTTCGATATTGGAATTTTCTCGGAAGAAATAATATTTTTTAAATGAGAAAACAACTCATGTCCAGTAGTGTGTCCTTTCAGTGGAATGAACTTCAAAAGATCTTCTTTAATCGTAAAATCACTAAAAACCATTCTGACGAACACGGCCATCTGGGCAGTGTCAACGACATCTGTTGATTCATCCAGTTGAAGTGAAAAATAAACACAGTTATCTAAGTCAGTTCTTAAACTGTAAAAAAATATCATTGCTCATTACTTCTACACGTCTCATCACTGTATTAGCAGAAAGTTGCATAGATTTTAAAGCTGAAACTATTTCGTCTTCATTTCTAAAGTTGGCAAATAACGAATCAGCAGCTTCTAAAAACGGCTGTTTTATCATTTCCCTGTCTTCATAAGGTTTCTTTTTTTTTGCAATTATCTGGGGCACACGGTACGATGCTTCAGTTGCAGCCTTATTTTTGTCGACTGTTCTTAAAAATATTGATTGTTGTCCAATTAACTGCTTTTTTAACTGTTTCAGTTTCTCCTTTCTGGCGGCAGAATGTAGTGGGAATGATTTTTCAAAATTAGAATGTACAGTTTCATGATGTCTCTCAATATTTCCTTTTTTAGCAACGGAGACCGAAGTATTACATAACAAACACACATTTTTATCTTTAACTTCTGTGAAAAAGTATTGTTGTTCCCATTCTGAATGAAAGTGGTATGTCTTTACCTTCTTACAACTGCTTGCCATAATATTATTTTTGTTGTTCTCTACTAACCCAACCGCTGGACGTTGGTTAAGCGTTCAGTTTCAAACTAAGCGCAATGTCGCCGCGCCATGCGTATTTATCCCGTTCAAAGCAATCCAGATCGTTCTCGAACACTAACGCGCTGGTCCGGCTGGTCGGTTCTAGCCGATTCTAGCTTGATGGCGTCAGCGGCAGATCGCTCACCGCAACGTTGCCGCTGTTTATGTTTAATATTATATTTTTTTGTGGAATTTTCGGAAGCCTCTCTGATTTTTGCAGTTTGTATTTTTTAAATTAAAATCGTTGTGAGAACTACCAGAATTGCCTCCGCGAGCTATCGGTAGCTCGCGATCGACAGGTTGGCGACCACTGGCTTAGAATGTGGAGTTTACTCCAGATCATTGAGTCTAAGGTTTAAGTGGGAAATGGGAAAAATACCAGCGTGGTTTAAATAGAACTGGCTGGTATCTCAATACCCAGAAAAGAAATAACCAGAAAAGGCATTTCTGACAAAAACATAACAATGTGCACTGATAGTAGACAAGCCCTATTAGCCTTGAAAAGACAACGTGTTACCTCAGGGCTAGTACTAGAGTGCCACCAAGATTTAGCCAAAGCCTCGGTAGATAATAATATTATCTAAGGAAACGGCTGAACTAAAAATTTTATTTAGGACCCAGTGATACCTACAGCCTGATGACTTCTACAATTGCGAAACTAGCCAAACGTCACACCCAGGCTCAATCTCTAAAGAAATGGAAATAATCAAAGGATGAAGTCTCGCTAGGATCACCCTGGGCGACTCTGGGAAGCTGGAGGCGAAGAAATATCTGGCGGTGACCAGGAAAAACCTACGCCTGACTGGCTACTGTCAACTAAGAAAACACCATAAAACTAGTGGACACACCTCTATGCAGGATGTGTGATCAGGAAGATGAAACTGTTAGGTGATTCCTAACACGGTTGCAGAATCATTCCAGATAAATTATCTTGAGAAAAATATCTGGTTGAGGCGAGATATCTGCAAAAAACCAAACTCCCCTTTTTGATAAATTGTTTATAAATTTCGCAATTTTTTCGAGCCCCTCTTGAAATTTTTCAGCATTAACGACCTTTTCCACAGCAGGGCATGTTGAATCAGTCCAATATGTTAAAATATTTAAGAATACAATTAGAGTTTTCATAAACTGAACTGATGTTCTCACTTTCTAGGCAAGCTAGGAGATTTGCAAGATTTTCATCACATGTGTTCGTGAAACTGATTATTTTTTGGTTATTCAATATTTTTGATTGAGAATTCAAAATTTCGAAAGAGAGACTTAAATGGTCTGCAAGATTTACATTGACATTAGGTGGAAGAACAGATGTCAGTCTGTACCTTTCGGTGCCGATTGCCATACTGAATCTCGCCCATTTACTTTTTTTTAGTTCACATGATGTATGAATATAACTGAAAATTAATAAAAGACCTTTATCATTATTATTATTATTCCAAGCCCTCAAAAGTCACTCCGACCGTCAGCAGGATAACCCGCCACCCGCTCATAGTCTTCGGTCTCCTGCAATGCCATAGAATCAAACGGATTCCCGCCTAAAAATAGACAGTCTGATTCGCAAATGAGCAGCCAAACAGGCTAGTGCAGATGTTGAGGGCACCGAGGGAGTCCTGCGATTTCCGCAGGATGAATGAACACCGCCGTCGAGAAAGATGCGTTGCTGCTGCAGTACAATATAACATCGGAGTCAGTAGCCCAGGTGGTCCGCATTGGCACGCGCACGCGCTCCATCTTGCGTACACCGTGTCTTTCTCCCGGACTTCAGTGCAGTGCACTGATCGCGTCGCGACGTGACTAGTCGGCGTCGCCAGCACCACATCCCGATTGCACCTGTTGGAACATCGCGAAGATTTTTGGAAAAATGACGCTCGGTCAATCGACGGCCAGAAAAAAATCCAGACTCGCGCTCAGTAGATCCGTGACCCCGACGCGTTCATGAGAGCGATTTCCACCAAAAACTCCTCACTCTTTGCTCAACGTGGTTTTCGCGCTTCAGATTCTTCCTTTTAACCGGTAGCCGGCCTGAAGATGGGCGATGTTTCGAGTTTTTTGCAGTCGATGGTTCGCCTGTGCTCTCTTGGTGCGGATCGGTTTTTTTTCGAGGGGGGTCGTTGGTGATGAGCTGCAGACATGACGATGTGGCAAAGTGGGATGGGGGGGCATGGGGGGAAGAACAATGCGTGGATGAAGCTCATGGGCATCGTCCACAAGGAACGGCGCCACCATGACTCAGGACCCGGGTCCGCTGACAGGACCCTCAGCCAGTAAGTCACAGTTTTGTTTCAAGAATATTCAGCAAAAATTGTTGCTTTCAAATTTCTTCTGTTGAAACCGGATTCGTTTATATTTTTAAAAACCAATTTTTCTGTAAATAGTAAAAACGTTCCTCAAATTTAGGAGTAACCTTCAAATATAGAAGTGTGGTGTTCCTCAAGGAACCGTTAAAGGACCTATCCTTTTTTTGATTCATATTAATGATTTACTAAATACAAATCTTGATGGTAATCTTTATTGATATGCAGATCACACTGTATATGTAGTGGAATGGGATGAGACCATATCGGAGGCTGAAGTTGGCATGTCAATTTTGAAACATAACTTGAGTTATGATTTGATATCACAAAAACGAAATTGATGACATTTTCATAAAATGAGAAATATCAGCCAAAATTTGATGAAAATGAAAATTCATAGTTCGACATGATTACAGAAATATTTTCAAAAATGCAATTGCTTCCTAAAATTGAATAGAACCAAGATTGTTGCTTGAAGTGGAAAAACATTCATTTGAATTAACGAAAAAATCAAGAAAACATCTTTATAAGTTCAGACTTCTGAGAAATACATTTCGAGTGAAAACTTCATTTGTGTTTTATCATGCATTATATTCTAACATGAACTATGTAATCGTAGCTTGGGATGGTGCATATGAAAGTTCATTAAAATTTGTAAAGTCTATTCATAAGTATGCAATAAAAATAATTTTCAAAAACCTTTCAGATTTTCATCAAAAGTTGTATTCAGGAAAATATTTTATTTCAACTCTCAAACGAACATTCTACTAAATCAGTAACATTTATACAGTGTGTAGCAATGAAAACTTAAGTTTTCATTTTTGGAATATAAAAAGTAAGATTTAAAAAAAAAGCTCGGACACGTCGATTTTTAATTAAAGGGGGACACCTTTCAGACTAATCAGATTTTTTGTAGTACGCACCTCCTCGGAGGGGTGCGACCCTTATTTATATAGGGAGAGTAGGTCGAGAGGCTCCTTGTTTTAAATTGAATACCTTTACATCTCTGTTGAAAGAAAATTTTTGTAACGATTAGTTTTCAAGATAATTTGAAGATTTAAAGGTATTTTTATTGAGTTCAACTCTTTTTAAAATAAATCAATTTGTTTTTAAGGTACAATTTACGTTCAGAACTTTCATAAAAAAAATGTTTGCTTTTTATGACAACCTGCTAATACGTGCCCATTTGATTTCGTAAAAAAGTAAGAATTAATTTGTTTATTACGAGATTTTTTCGGGGAATGGGGTTGGTTACCACCCTTACATTTTAGGTAAATTGAGTGGCACCTCCTTATGAAGGTTGCCTTTTGACGTGGATATTTTATGCTTCGATATAAAAGTGAATCATACTAAAAACTTACCTACATAATGTATACAACCTGCTGATTTCCTTAAATGCTGATGACACAGAAAAGTTTAAAAAACTGTTTTACGGTTAATAAATCCCAATAATAGTTTTTAAAGCACACACAAAAAAAGTAACACCTAATAAGGGTAACTCACATAGGAAATTTAGAGTAAATGTTCAAAATGTGCGCCATTTTGCTCCATGCAACAATAAAGATTTTGTTCGAATTTTGCTCTTACATTATTCAACATCTCAGGAGTTATAGCCAAATTGGCTGGCTGTGTAGCATAAACTTTAGACTTTAAATATCCCCACAAAAAGTAGTCCAGTAGTGTTAAATCTGGTGATCGTGCTGGCCATTCAATTGGACCTCTTTTGCCAATCCATTGTCCTTGAAAATGATTATTCAAAAAATTTCGAACCTGCTGGGCATAATGGGGTGTTGCACCGTTTTGTTGAAAATGGATAAATTCATCTTGACATCTTGGATCCTGTTCGATTATTTCAACTATACGAGGATTGCCCCTTCAAGAAGTTGTAAATAAGAATAACCAGTTAAATTTTCATCAATGAAAAATGGACCTATAATATGATTGCCTAATATTCCGGCCCAGACATTCAACTTTTGGGGATGTTGGGTATGTATTTCTGCGTATTGTCTTGGGTTTTCATCCGACCAATAACGGCAATTGTGACGGTTCACGCAACCATTTAAATAAAATAAGCTTTCGTCCGAAAAACAGATGTTATAAAGCAGCTCGGGATGGATGTTTGTTGGTTGGTTGGTTGGTAAGTGATAAACTTCTACATCGCTCAACCGATCGTAACGAAACTTGACATGTATAAGTAATTTTTCATAGAGAAGGTTTTTAGGCTATTTATTTTTCTGTAACTCGCCACTAGATGGCGCTGTAGAACAATTTTTTGAAAGCACTGTTCTATAACGCTGCGCACGCCCAAGTTCGTTGATTCTGATTCTGTCAAAACATTGGAACAGCAGCGATATAGAAACATAGTACTAGTACAGTATATAGTATGATTTGGTAAATTTTCGTTTTGAAGGCACCCGGTGATTTTGAAAAAAATTTTGAGTGTACTTACGTATTTTGATG